ACACTGAGAAAATCACCATTCAGTTCTGCCATCCACTGCCCCACATGTCCTAAAATGCACTGCTAATTAGTCACTATGCTTCACTCTGTAGGTCATCAACCTCTAGCCTGTGGGCCGGATCCAGCCTGCAAAGCCAGGTGACTGCAGTGACATTTGGCAGAGGGGGCTTTGGTTGTGTCACGGGCACTGGGAAAAAGCAGAGGTGCCAGATCCTAGAGCCGGTGCACCTCAGAGCCAAGCTAGGTCAATGTAGCCCATCACTGGAAAACATTAAAACCATAGCCACAGGTGACTGCCTTTTAGTGATGAGTGATGAAATGAGTGACAAAGAGTCTTGATCTTGTAAACCCACCATCTTTCTTTCTCTATACACACATATATGTACATGTATGCACACACACAATTCTTTTCCACTGAAAATGTATTTAAAATCTAAACACATTTATGTTTGATTGCAAGACTATTGAAGTCAAAGGAAGGTCTTTCTCCCTCTCATTCCCCTTATTGTGCTTCAGGTAAGACCCAAAATAGGCTATAAAAGTTTCAAGTAGACAAGGGCCCTACAAAACTGTAACCTACTGTTTAGTGTTCATCATGTGCAGTCAAACTACTTTTAAAACTATCCCTAAGAGGAGGTAATGCTAGGAGTATGGAGAGACATAAAGATAATTACATTTCTGTCATGCTATTATCAGCTCTTTATGAAATTTTACCTCTGCAAATTATACAGAAAGCAGATAATATAGGTTTGTAAATCTCCAAATTGAATGACGGAAACAATAACTGCTCAGTTTAAGTAGGTTCTCAACATGTTTACAATAAATCTTCCAAGCCTGAAATTAAACATTTATTATGCCAGCACCTACTGCATTGATTTAAGTCTGACAGAAATGAAGAATCCTCACAGCTGATTCAAACAGCATCTTTTTGCATGGCTGCACAAAGGGAGATCAGCTAGGGAGATTACAGAAAGGCAAATTAAAGGATACAGAATCAGCGTTTGACAAGCTATTATTCTTCTCACTTGTCAGGCAACTGCAATTCAAGATTAGCTCTAACTTCATGCCCTTACTTGCACCTTGAAATCCTTCATTATATAAACCATAATCAAAACATGTGAGGATGATAAAACTGGAAGAAAGGACATATGACACTTGTTGTCTCATATACTTAAAACTGCTACAGGTCTTCAAAGAATAGCAAGACTAGAACTAGTCAGGAAAATTGACCCCAAATTTGGTGAAGTCTGGATCCCAACTTCCTGGCTTCTTTATAAGCCCAGACTTGCAAGACAAATCACTGTGATACTAAAGGGTGATAAATGCAATAATTCTAAGTATTTATCATTAACATACACATCTTAATTCTGAAGCTAAAAGGAATTGGCTCTAGACTTGGGCTCATCTCTTATTAAGACCAAAACTCCCTCCCACTTCCTTGCTAAGAAACAAGGAAGTTATAAAGTAGCAAAATTAGGAATGACAAGGAAGTTAGGCCCACTCTGGGTGAAATCTAACAAACCTACTGATATCCGGTTTTGTCTAGTGGAAATACATCAATATGATGTTATCTGTGCCTTTAGGCAGTTGTCCAGCACAGCACGTGAAGGGGAGAGAGAGAGAGGAAGCAATATAAAGAAGGTAAGAAGTAAATTTATATAGTGAAAGACATGGAGTGACTGATGGAAGAACACAACATTCAGGAAAACAGGACTTAACAAAGAAATAAAATCTCTTCATCCCTTCTACAGTAGTTTATCTGTAGATCTCAGAGCTCTTTCCATATTTAAGTAAATATTTTAAGTAAATAAAAAATTACCCTTATTATGTTGAACACTTAGCAGATTTGTCAAAGCTATGAAGTCACTGACAGCCCAGGCAAAACCCTGTCTCCACTCAAATCGACACTAAAAATATTGATGGGTGTTTCACCAGTGATGAGATCTCATCACTGCTCTCTTGATATCTAATTTCAGCTCTCTACCTCCTGAAGCTACTTACTTCTCAGACATTTAGGATGTGGCCATTTCACCCACAGCAGGATGGCGAGATCCAGGATCATTGAGAGGTGACTGTGACCAAACCCTCTTCGGCAGCATGGTGCATGTGCAGTTAGCTCTCTGGGGAAATAGCTGGCAGGAGGAAGGGAAGGCAAACAGGAGTGGCCCCCACCGCCTGGCTTCTGGAGTAATGTGAAAGCAGGGGCTCTGGCCAGAGTGAGTACAATCCTTGAGGTGCATGCAGAGCTCTGGCAGGAGCTGCAATAATCTGTCAATGAGCTCAGAGACCTCACTGAACATGTGCCACACAGCCAAAGGGAGTGTGACCATGTTGCTGCATCCCCCTAATTCCAATGGACACCAAGGAGGGAGTGGGGAAGCGTGAAGTGTACAGTTTGATGCAGGGGGCTGAACAGGGTGACAACAAAGCACATATATACCCCACATAAAGAAAACTGACAAATGTAAGAGTTTAAAACTAAAACAGCTGTAGGCATTATTAGAACAAAGTATTCCTTTAAATAAAAAATGGGGGGAAAAAGGTTTAAAAATCATTTTCTTCCAGCAATTCCACACCGAGGATGTCATAACTGAATTTATATATATTTCCTTTTCTGTTTATGGTTGGAATATGGTGGCAGGTATCCCAAGCTAAGGCAAGCAAGGCTGTGACAACAGTAACAAATAAACACGCAGCACACTGCTAGGGTCAGAGCCAACCTACACAATTTCCCATCTCTCTGAGCTTATCCAGCAGCATCAGCTGCTTCTGTCTGTGACTGCTGCTGTTCTTCTGCATCATGCCTTCAATGACTCATGTTGCTTTGGACCGCTCATGCTGTGCTTATGCTGGTTTGAGCCATTTGAGTCAGACTCTGTTCACAGGGGCTTTTATATCAGGGTAGCTATACTGATGCAAACCTACAGCATAGACCTGCTACACTAGTGTACTTGTTCTGGTTCAGCATCTTCCAGATACCCTATACCAGTGGTGCTCAACCTTTTGGCCCCAGGCCAAATGAGTAACACAGGGCCCATTTGCAGGCTGAGGGGCCTGGCAACTCTCCCCCACAACCACTCCCACACCCTGTGCACCAGGATTGGGTCCCAGGGGCCTGGCACCACCCTCCAACACCATGACTGGGCCTTGGGCCAGATCCAGTGTGCAGGTCCCAGAGCTCCCCATGGGTCCCAAGGCCTGGCAGCATGAGAAGAGCAGTAGCAATCCCCTGCCACCAAATTTCTAGACCCACAGGGGTGCATGGGGCTGGTCCATGGCCAGCTGGACCCACCATATAGCCCTGGACCTGACATGCCAGTCCGACCCCACACACTGGCTCTGAAGCCACAGGGTGGGTTGGACCTGGTGCACATCTCTGTTGCACTGCATCACCTTAGACCTGGGATGTAGGCTCCATCCAGTGCATGGGTTGTGCACTCATGTTCAAATATCAACCATGGCTGAGACTGGTGCTGCTTGTTTACACTACCTGTTTATAGCAGGGCGCTGCAAACCATCCATTGCTCCCAATTCCAACTGTGTTGACAAGATCTCAGTTGTTTTCTCTCACTGTCCACCATCATTTACCATATTTTCTCACATATGTTTCTTCCCCCCCAAAACCAGCTAAGGAAAATGAAGGTGTACATTATATGCGAGAAAAAGGGACCCCCGTGGCTCTGGAATTTGGGTGGGGGAAAGAGGGGGAGCAGTGGCAGTGTTAACTGCTGTGGCTCTGGGAGCCATGGCAATTAACACTATCACATCTCCCTCCTTCCACTCCACCCCCAGCCAAATTTCTGGACCTGGGGAGAGATCCTCTCCCCATAGACTGGTTGAATCAGGAGGGTGCATGGGGCTGGTCCATGGCCAGCTGGACCCACCACATAACCCTGGACCTGACATGCCAGTCCGACCCCACACACTGGCTCTGAAGCCACAGGGTGGGCTGGACCTGGTGCACAGCTCTGTTGCACTGCATCCCCGTAGACCTGGGATGTAGGCTCCATCCAGTGCATGGGGCTCACTGCAGGCTCAGGAAAAGACTTGGCTCCCTAACAGCTCCTACTCAGATACTTACCCAAGGTAATAAGCTCTTTTTTTCTTCATGATACAATAAAAAAAAAAACAGGGTGTGTGTGATATGCAGGGGTGGGTTATATATGAGAAAATAATGGGGTTTTTTGGTCCCACCTTCAAGCCTTGGTCACAAATATAGACTGTAAGCAACCTAGGGTGGACTGTGTCCTTCTTACTTCTTTGTACATCACCTTGCACAAAGGCAGTGCTGCAGTACAAGGAACTGTACAAGGTCTAAAGAGGAGCCCAATCCAAAGTGAGGGCCCAATCACAGACGAGCTGCTTGTTTGCATCATAAAGCAAGATGACAAGGCAGATCTTCCCAAAGGAGACTAGAAGGAAGAAGGAAGTAGTCTGTGTTGGATTTAAATCAAAAGCAAAGAGTACACAATGACTCAAGAAAGCAGCACCAACATCTCCTAGAGGTAGCACCTTACATTCAGCCCCATTGTGCTGGCTGCCATACCAAAACACAGTAGAAGGCACTTCCTGCTTACAATCTAAACAGAAAAAAAGAAAGATGGGCGAAAAGGCTGCTTTATACAAACAGAAGACTGGGGACAGAGAGATGAAGAGGCCTGCCTGAGGTCACCATGGATTTAAATCCTGGTCTTAAGACACAAGTTAGGACTTGTGGGACTCCAGACCCATAAGTCCTTCTTTCAAGGGACTGAGCCATCTTAATGTAGCTTGAAGGAGGATTGTCAGGGGAGTAATGAATGGTTAGGTTCACCTTCTGCCATGAACGTATTTTTCTACTGTCTTTGTGTCAGAGAAGCAGCTACTGTACGTACATTTCAAACTGAGATTCAGCTCTGAACAAGCTGACCCATTCTGGGATATAAGTGACAAAATGTTGGAACACAAAATAAATCGACTGAAATGAAGAGTTTAAAATTCCAAAGTCAACAGTTCACTTACCGGTCCAGAGTATCCTGAGGCACTTTATTCCCTCCAGCTCTGTTGGTGACACTGGCATTCTTGTTGGCAGTCATGGTCATTTCTGCTCTCTATAAACCTAGATACCTGAGAGAAAACAAAGCAAATTAAGCTTAAATAGGGTCCAACTAGCAAGCGAGCTTTCCAAAACTATGAGGAACAAAAATTCCAAAGTAACATCAGTGATGGGTAAACCCCAAAGCCACTGTCTGCTACAAAGTGCATTCAATCAGATTATGATTTTGCATAATTAAAACTCCAGATCATACTTGAGTCTCATTTTATCAGAAGGCCCAAAGCAAGTGGGACAGAGGTACCAGGGTTAGGAATATGGTTCAGATTCTGTCTTTTCCCTATTTAAAATTGAGATGGAGTTTGAGTTTGCAAAATCCCACAAGCTGCACTTGAATTTAGCTCTTCCATCCAACAACACTTGTGCAGAAACCAATAGTGAGTGATACCAAAGCAAAGACAAGTTCTGTACAAATAAACTTCTTTTAAATTAACGTAGCTTGTGTCCACAGTACACAGCCATGAGCTCACTGAAGAATCATGTTCAAGTCTGTCTGTTGCACTAAAATACCCATGGATGCTCTTTATCTTTCCAAGTCGCTACAAGGTTAAAAGTTGCTTTGAAACACCAAGAAGGGCAATGCAACTCATTAATTCTGCCTTCCTACTGAGGAAAAATAGCCAGTGGCTTCTACTAGTTCTTTCCTAGCAGCATTGGGCTGTGAGATCTGAGAAAAAACCAAGTCATAAACTCTTTACCCTGATAAAAAACAAATCTATCCAATTATTTTTTTCTTGAATGTCCAGTTTACAGAAAGACTAGCAGTCCTGAGTGCCCTAATTCCTGATAGGCAGCCTTACATGAAAAAGAAACCAAAATACACTTAAAAGCAGACAAGTATTATTAGTTTTGGAGACAGCGCAAAGAAGAAGAGATTTCTGGATGAGTAACTATATGGAGATGGCTGGCAGTGAAGAAGATCTCACTGATGTGGTGCTGTGACACACAAAAACAGGAAATAGATATATCAGACTGATTCTCAAATGCAAAGGGATTTCAACTTGCAAAGCAAAAACAGTTAAACAAAAGAACATTATGGGAGAAAAAAAACCTAGCAATAACCAAGGGAGAGGTGGCAACTGGTAACTTTGTGTTCTGTGGGTCCCTCAAGTATGTGAGAAAGGAATGCCAAAGAAAGGCTGAATTGTTCAACTGCTCCCAAGAGCCCAGACTGAGTTCACTTTTGTAACACTGCCACACACTGCTGAAGGAACAACCCGTTACTGAGGAGATCTATTCTGCCCACATTCCACTGATATCAGCAGGAGTTTTGTGCTGCAAGTGAGGGCAGAATGGGGGCAATACCTCTGTTGACCAGATCCTAATGCCAGATGTGACACCGGTGTACCCCCCAAACCTCTTTCTGCTGGACCCCGGCTCTGGGGAGTTGTGTTTGCAGCTCCTTCAAGGGCACTCCTCACCTGTTATCAGAACTATTAGAAGTGTTTTACCAAGTAGGAAATAAACATACTTTAAAAAACTCCATAGGAAGATTTTTAGTGGGGTCCAAAGCACACTTTTATGATGGAAACAAGACTGAACTCAGGTAACGTAAGCATAAAATGGATTCTTTATTCAGGATGCTACAAGCTCTCAGATCCTAGTTCTCAATGGCTTCTGATTTCTCAGTACCTTGCAGACTGAAAACCACAGCTTGATTTGTAGAGCTGCTGCCCAAGGGCTATGTAAGCCCTGACCAGAACTGCTGATTGCAGATCCCATTAATAGCATAGCAAATGCAAAAATAAAGAGTATTACAAGATGTGGTGTTTACCTAAATCCATAATAAATCAAGGCTGCTTGAAATGTGATACTGAAAAATGAGCTGGGCATTGACAACACACAAAATCCTTCTACAAACAGACTCAACTGTATGGAGAGGATATTTGCTAAACCATTTTACCCCAAATAGTTCTACTGCAAATAAGGTCATAGAAAATTCCTGTGGAATGTAGCTCAAAATGTAGAATCAATTAAAATAACCACAGATTCCGGGTCCACTTTCAATTTTCTGATTGTCCAGCTTTCCTGGATTAGATGAAGTTTTTTCCAGTCAGTAGAATTTTTTCTGCACTAGCACTCTCCAAATTCCTCTAAGATCTCAGTATTATTGTAATTATTATACTATCAAGATAACAGGATTGCACTGAACTGCCTGCTCTGATCAGGAAAGCACATCCTTAGGAAAATAAAGAACAAAAACACTCTAAAGCCAGCCAAGCAAATTCCACAATAAACCAATAGTTTCATCATATTTTCCACTCTCCAGTTCAGCGGCACCAGTGCTCTCACCATGCCAGACTGCCTGAATCACAAAGACAAGGTGCTTAAAAGCAAGTGAAATAAATGGAGCCCAAAGTCAAATGATGACCATTAGCATGTGTGCTACAATTTGGAAAATTAACTTTTCTGCTAGAAACCAAGAGAGGAAATGCCAAACTGGGACATGTGAAACCTGTCATAGATTAGAGTAAGACTTAGGAAAGAATTCCCCCTCCTGTCCCATCCCCAAGTCACAGCAACATATTTGCCATTTGTAGGACACTTCCAGAATCCAACATTGAATCATTTCTAGAACATGAAATCATCATTTTCACATAAAAATGAGATCATTTAAAACCCATTATTTCAAAACTACCGTGAATTCTGAATGGATCAATTTGTATTTCAACATTGGCTCACTTTCAAGCAAGATGTGATCTGTTCTTGAGGGAAAAAAACTCTACAGACTGTGTACAATTGGCGAGAACTACATTTCTTCCTATGCACAACAGGAGATATCGGTATGTGTAATAGCTCTAAGGCAGGAATAAAACGGAAAACAGACTGAGATTCAGGTGGGCATTACGTTCCTATAAGATTATCCGAGAAGTGACTATCTTCAGAGGAACACAGCATAACATGTCTACTAAATAACACTGTGTAGAGGCATATTCTTTTTGTAAATGCATCAGTAAGTAAATGAGAGCTCTGTCACCTCTCAGACACTAAAAGTCCAGAAACCAAGACATCCATGCCAAAGTAGTAGTCAAGTTACCTGGCTGATGTTATGAAAGCTTATTTTGCTTGTGGATCTTCTGTTCATACCAAACCACAAAGCTGAAATCCAATATTTGTGTTATGAGCACCATCTTTATTAAAAATTGTGGCGGTCTGGCTCTGAACTTAAATTTAAATATTTTGAAAGTCTTCCACTTTTGTATAAGTAGAGGAAAACTATTTAAAATGTATTCATAAAACTCTGAAATTGAAACTAAGAGTAAGGTTCTAATCTCTGAAGTGAACACTACGTGGCCTCACTAAAGTACGTGCGTAAGTGGCTGCCTTGTCCAGTCACCACCTTACCTATATTTTCACTCATGTAATTCTGGTATTGTACTGATTGCTTTTACATCACTCACGACAATGACCACAGTGCTCCAGTGCTCACATCCAAAATTATAGGTCCAGCATGACCACTCTTGGTGACAGGATACCCATTGTTCTGACCCAGAGAGGAAGGATGGGCTAGTGGTTAGAATCCTGACCTGGGTACTTGAATGGCCTTTAGTAAGTCACTATACCCAAATTTACTAAGGTATTAGGTGCTTTCTGGATCTGAACCTTAACTTCTCTTTTCTTTCATTTCTCCTTTTTTAAAATGGAGGTGAAAGTATTTCCATCATCACACGTGCTGTGAGGATATGTGTATGTATGAGAATATGTATATAAAAGGCTCCGAGATGCTCAGAAACAATGATGATGTGAGCTGTGTACAGTGCTGTAGCAAGGGTTGGGGGAAGCGGGGCGACTGCCCCAGAAGCCAAAGTGAAGGGGTGGCAACAGGCGCTGCCAAGCTGGGGCGGGGTGAGGGATGGAGCTGCGAGCAGTTCATTTTAGGGGGGCACAGGGACCAGGTGAGAGTGGCTCACTCCGCTGCATGCACTCCCAAGCAAGCATGGGCAGGGGGTGCCCCCTGGATCTGTGAGCGGGGCAACAGAGAGCTGCTGCTGCAGGCTTTGGCCTGGGCACCAAACTTTGCTGCTACGGTACTGGCTGTGTAAATACATAAGTGGACACAAGCAGCTGTGCTGGACCTATAATTTTGGGTGTAAACACTGGAGCACTAAGTTCATTATTAGAGAGCATCATGGACAGCTTGAGTGATTTTATATCATAGCAAACTTTTTTATGGGTCTTTCCAACAAAGCCAAGTTAGGACAGATCAATTTACAGACACACACACACATCCATGCACACACCATGAAGGTTTTCTAAACACCACATCACCGCTATGTGAAATTCAGAATCCTCCATTTCAGAGGTAGCCAAATTTTCTGGCTGAGAAGGCAAATAACTCTTAGACAGCAAAAATAAGATTAAAGCCAGACAGATTTAAGAGCAGGCAGTACTTCGAGCTACTTCAAGGTGAAAGATGTTTATATCATGTCAAGTTCAGCAGCAGCAGCAGCAGCTCTTCACATAAGAAAAATATCCAATGCCTAGAACAACTATAAAAATTTGCAAATTTGGAGTGTGAAATAAGACAGGAGAATCAGGCTACCCTTAAGTTACATGTATCACTTTGGAAAAATGCTTGATATTTTGGCTTCAGAAAAGGTACTGTGCTCAGGGCACAACCTGCTCAAGTTTGAAATGCCAGACCTACCCAGAATACCCTTAAAAATCTAGCTTTATGCATATGAATCTTGATGCGAGTAGTCCCTTTGACTAAGACAACACTGCCAGTCCCAAACACTTGAAAATAATGGGTCAGGCCCCCAAAATTCCAGAGGTTGGCTAAACGAACATGACTTTAAACAAACAAACTAAAAATAGGTTCTTTTTAATTGCATTCTGGTGCGGGATCCTTCGGAGGCAGACTTTCAAGCTTTCCTCTTTAACCGTTAGGGTGAACAACTTATTTCTGAAATTAAAGCTGAGATTCTCACATGAGCATGTAAATCCAGGAGACAATAATGTAATAAAAATACCAAATACCACAACTCCAAAAAAGCCACAGCTGTTGGCAGCA